CACACACACACACACACACGCGCGCGCGCGCGCACACCTATCAGGCACGAACACGCCCGCACGCGCCTCTTTCTGCGCTCTTGCCTCCGGTGCCGTATCTGCAGCAGCCTTGCGGTCAGTACGGTGTCGCCATGTGGAACGCCCCCCCCCCTTGTTTGCTTCTTTAGCTCCATGTGTTCGCTTGAGTTGCTTCGCCTCCGACCAGACTCTGATAGACTCTGATCCCTACAGCTAGCTGCTCCCTCTCACACTAGAAGAGCAAAAAGCAAGCTCGATCGCGTGCGCGCGCGCAAGTAGTACAGTAGTACTGCACCTGCACCTGCACCTCGACTCAAGAGTCCACCTTCCCGATTCATCTCTTCGTCGGCGTGCCTCACTCATTTTGCTCCATCGCACATCCGTTACCGGTAGTCGTACCTGAAGCTGTGGGCACCTTTCATGCGCTGTCGCTTCTGATTCTTCGACACATACATATCCGCCGGCATTTCGCAACGCAGCGCACTCGTCCTGAGAGCTCTGCAGGAGGGAGGCGCACCTTGCGGGTCGATCCATCAAAGAACCTTTTGCGCCACCAGTCTTCTGTCCTGCCATTCTGCTCCCACCTTTCCTGCAGCACCTGCTCCGGCCGAGCGGGTCGCAAATCATACTTCTGCTCGAGCGCTGACTTCAAAAGCAAGCCATCTGCTCTCTACTTTACCACATCACCAACCTATCCGCTCTCGGTCTCAACGTTCCGTGAAGCGCATACAAGCTCTCGCAGCAATAGCAAGTTCTTCTCGACGCAAGAACTGGTCAGCAGTACGGTAGGTGCGATCCCGCTCGAGCTTAAAGCTAGCTTTTTCCCTCGATGGAGCATCACTTCGCTACGACAGAGCAGAAGCGTGAGCTCGATCCGCGGCCACACAGTCGCAGCGAGCATCAGCGGCTTGGTCCACCGCCGAACCATTCCAGCATGATCCTGCCGAATGTGATCAGACAGACTGGCGAGCGCACTGCCTCGCACCATGTCCAGCGCGTATCTACAGATTTCCCTCCAAGAATGGACGACCACCGTCGCGATTCCCGTCATGCCATGGACGTCGATCGAGAACACCGTCGAGAAAATCCTCAAGCAGTGCCCTTCGCCCCTCATCAGGCTCATCCCGCCCGAGCTGCCAGCATCTCGGGCATGTCTCAACCTCATCAATCTCAGGGTATGTGGGATGCGCGGCGATCCTCGAGCGAATCTGAAAGGATCAGTTCCAGACTACCGCCAGCTCGCCGCAACAGCCGCGCTGCGGAGTTGCCTCGCGCGCTCGTGGACGCTGCACCAGGCACGCGTGTAAGCGTGCCCCGACGACCCTCTGATGGCGAATCGCGCCACGCTGCGTATCCAGGCCCACCTCCTGCGGATGGACAGCGCACATTGGCATACCACCCGCAGGAACGATTCGCGCCGCGATCCCCGCCAACTCGATCTGAAATGGCTCCGCCGTCCCGAGCCAGCGGCTCGCCCTCCACAGCTCAGCTGCCGCGTCTCAGGACCGTCAGCGGCGATGGGTCCTCGCTCTCTGCGTCAGGTCTGCCAGCTTCAGCGGCGACCGGCCCTCGCGAAGCTGCGTGGGCTTATCACCGTAAGCTCAGCGCTCCCGGAGATATTCGTCAGCCCTTTCCGCCTCGCCGCTCCGTCGACGATGTGGATGCGGCGCAGCGCACCGCTCAACGTGCTCGGACGCAGCACGTCGAGGCCTCTCCAGCCGGTGCAGACTCTAAGCGTCACATTTTGCCACCATTGCCACCCGACTTGATCGCTGGTAATGCCGCCACCACTACGAGATCCACTTTGCCACCTCTTCGGCCGCCGCCCGGCTTTCATGCGCACTCCTACCACGTATCCGAGCCCCACGCCCGTGCGACGCAGCCACCGGGTTCTGGCATGAAGATACGCAGACCATTGACGGCTG